CTATCTATCTATCTATCTATCTATCTATCTATCTATCTATCTATCTAGTGCTTTGCCAGCCCTCACTCATCTGTCACCTGCCTCTTCTATTGTTCCTATTGAATCCCTTGCCCTCTTTTTGAACCTTTGTCAGAGCATGGAACCTAGAACTGGGTCAAAAAACTTCTTTCAGCTTCCTGTCTCACAGAGTCAAACTCTAAGCCTATGGACTAGTCCCCTTAGTCTCCCTGGTGCCCAGAGGCACTTATTTAACCCCACCTTCTTCTACTGTGTTGCTCACTTAGTTAAGTCTGCATAAGCCCTCTTCAGGGCCTTTGCACTTGCTGCTCTTTGTGAGAATCAGAGTGGGAAGAGAAGAGCATGACTCTTGCTGCAGATGTACATGTGGTCAGCCTAAAGCTGCCCTTGCCACACAGAGGTCCACCCAACCTCTTTTCTAGCAGACCTGTCTCCATTAGCATGCATGGCATCCTATGGTATTTGCTCATACGTAATGGTAATTCCGTAAGGGTAGAGATTGTGTCTCCTCGCTCGTTGGCATGGCTGTTGACTCTAGAAAATTGCCCATGTCCTAGGAGTTTCTCCACGCATCCTTGTTGAAGGAAAGAATAAAGTCCTGTCTCCTTTCCTAGGAATTAAAGAAAAATAGATCTGCAATTTTAGAGGTGTGTGGTAAGAGAGCATGATCTTTAGAGCCAGATGGCTGTTGTTCCCATCATGTCACCGCTGTTAATTACCTGAGTAACCCTAGGCAAACTGCAATCTTTATGTCCTTCCATTTCCTCATCTAATGAAGAGCAGTAATGCCCACTCAGCGCCACATGTGGTGGTGCAAAATTGTAATCCAAGCAACTGCAGCAAAAGGCAAGAGAAAGAAAAGTTCCAGGCCAGCCCGGGCTACATAGTGAGACCCTGTTCAAAATAGACAAATAAATAACAACAGCACAAGGTTGAATTTATTAGATTTTTATGACTGTCATCACACGTAATCTTGAGATAACATGTTTTGGTCTCTCTCTTTTTTTTTCCTGGAGACTATATAGTTATTGCATGGCATGGATGGGCAGTATCTGATGTAGACCAAGCTGGCCTCAAACTCATAGGAATCTACTTACCTCTGCTTCCCAAGTGCTGGGATTAAATCATGTACCACTAACATCTGGATATGTACATACTTAAGGAGAAAGTAATTTGTGACCTCCCGTTAGAATTAACTAACAAAGCAACCCCAGTAACCCCAAGGAAGAGTATCCATACCGAATCCTTCTTGACTATATCCAATGAGCGATACACAGAAAATATACAAACTAGCTTTTGTGATCAAAAACTTTCTGTGTCTGAGAAAAATTTGAACCTACACCTGTGAGTGTCGTGGGAATGAGTTAAAATGAATTGGAAACTGTGTGAACTTCTCCTCTGTGTTATGTTGTTGTTGTTATTGTTTGTTTTTTGTTTTTTTGGGGGGATACCCAATACAGACCTGTATACTATTTGATATTAAATATTAAATTAAATCCCATGTAAAGATTTTATGTAACTAAGTGTCTTTTGTTCAGGCACAGTCAATTTAAACTTATTTATAGGAGGCTCTAAAATGTTCCAATTTTCTTTAAAATATTATGACAAAGTAATATACCTGGACATGTGCTTTTAATTAATTAATTAGTTAATTAATTTATTTTTGAAACATGGTCTCACACTGTACCCTAGGTTGGCATGAAACTCACCATGTAGTCCAGGCTGCCCAGGCTACCCTCAAACTCACGGGCATCTTCCTGTCTCAGTCTTCAAAGCTCCAGGATTACAAGAATGAACCACCACAACCACCACTGAAATGTTCTTTGGACAAGTTTCCTAATTAAGCTTGCAGAGAAAACTACAACAAAACCACATTCTTTAAATGCAGCAAGTATGCAAAAGAAAGAACTCTTTTAGATGACTAACACTTTTTGACACTCAGCTGTTGGAATTAAAAACATATTAATTATGGTAAAGATCGATGTGTGGTTTGGTTAAAAGAACTTGTTGCTCTTCCAGAAGACCTGTACCCACATAACAGCTTACACCTGAATGTAGCTCGGGTTCCAGGAGATCCAATGCCCTCTTCTGGCCTCCTTGGGTACTGCATGCATATAGTGCACATACATGAAGTCAAGGCACCCATACACATAAAATTTTAAATGTTAATTACAAATGCTGCTACTCAATTTGTAAAACAAATCTGGTCAAGACCTTTGCTTGAACTTAGAGTCACATGACTGAGAGCAACCTGACTGTTATCCTAGAACTGAACTGCTGTCCAACCAGGGCAATATAGGGATAGACAGGGATGACAGGGATAATTTATAGAAACAATGTTTTCTGTAATGGAAGCTTGTTTGTATGTTCATCAGTTCACTTAGGCTTTGTGGTTTGTGAGCCACTGATTTTAGTAGATGGAGAAGCATACCATCTTTGGTTCAGCAGGTGCTTGTTAAGCTCCATCAGCCCCAGTGAGCTAGAAGAATGCAATGGTGGTAAGACAGTATGTTCTCTGGCCTGACAGGTGCCTGACAATTAGAACTTGACCAGTGTCTTTCCTTTAATGCAGGTCACACAACTGGTCTCTCGTTAAATAACGAGCGGCTCTACAAGCTCACATACTCCACTGAAGTGTCTCTAAATGGGGGCAAAGGGAAACTGGAAGACAGTGTGGGCTACAGGATCTCATGTGACGTGGATGTTGTGTTACTGTGGCGGAACCCTGACGGGGACGATGACCAGCTGATCCAAGTCACGGTGGGCATTTTCTACCCAAGTGAAACACCAAGACCACACTGAGATTAGATGTCAGAAGTACATCACCCAGATGCACTTGTTTTGTACTCTTGGTTAAACTTGGTTCGTTATCTTTCATGAAAGTTGCTGCTGATCACTAGTGAGTATTTATTGGAGCAGGCTGTTAGGAGATACTGGCTCCATGCTGCTGAGTAGCTGGAGTCTGATCTCCAGTTCTTTATCTCATCTTAATATGAAAGGGACATTGTATTGGAGTCCGTTCAAAAAGTTCTGCGTGGAAGGGATTTGCAATGCATGCCGTGCAAGGAACCGTGGAGAGTGAAATGGAGATATGTTAGAAGAGGCCTTTTTTAACAGGTGGAATTACTAATGAGGGACAGAGCCTCTTCTAGAAGGAACCGAGTACTTTATAGAATGGCAGTATTTGGTCAGCCATGATGGTTTAGATTTGAGAGACTTTTTCTAATGTTGAAACATTGTAATTCTACTTTCCAAGAACCTGACAGCAATGGATTCCTTTTGAAGTTAGTTATTCTTCTGCAGGTTAAGGGACCTGATACACTGGATCAAGTGCTTGCAACAAATAGCTTTGGCTGTTCTTTATAGTGTGGTTTATTGCAATCTAGTTGCCAATCCCTTGCTGTTTCTTTGGATGTCTCTAGTGGTCATTGTATTTTCAAAGCTGGATCAAAACATCCCAATCCACTCTGAGTCATTTATCACTAACAGCAAGCTTTCCTGCAGAAAACAGTGCCTACATCCTTGTTCTGTAATGCTCACCTTTCATTTTAAAAAACACAAGGATGCAGGATGGGCAGGAATCCTTGCAGACACACCACAGACAGGGAAAGGATGAGGCAGATAGCAACTGTTCAAAACAAGTGACAAAAGTGACAGTGGCACAGAAAAGCCAAATTCAAGCCACAGATATAACTCAAGATGATGGAGTCAAGTATCTTCATTTTTGACTAGTTAAACTATCCAACGTTAAATTCTTTTAAAGGCAATGACATGGTGAGGCTCTGTAGCTTAGTTGGCTCCTTTACCACTTTATTTTTCAAGAGAGCAGACGTGGGAATTTTTTCTCATAGTTTTATTTCATTGACCTTAGATAACAGCTGTCACCGTTGACAATGTGAATCAACAGAGAGGAGAGAAGAGCATCTTCAAAGGCAAAACTGAAGCTAAGATCATAGGCAAGGACAACCTGCAGGCTCTGCAGAGACCCATGCTTCTTCATCTAGTCCGCGGAAAGGTAAAGGCTCTGGGGTTGTCTTCCCTGCTCCCTAGTCTGGTCCCTTCAGCAGGCAGTGCTCTGAGGGAGTCATATTGCTACTGCCTTTATTTTCAGCGGAATCCTCTCAAGAACCGAGGGGCAAAGGCTACTGACTAAATGTCTCCAAAGTAAATCAAATCATGTCCTGAATTCTATTTCCTATCCAGCGTCTCTCTGCGTGTGTCTCTCTCTTTCATTAAACTCTTTGTAATAGAATGGCACATTGGCTTATGTGAGAAACACTTTTCTAAAGTGCATCTCTTATTAATATTAAATTAGGAAGGGTTGCAGAGCTAGCATAACAGAAAATAATCACAGCATGCTCACATAAGTTCAGGAAATTAGGCAGATTAGAATGAAAGGTTAGAGCCTAGAAAAACAATATTTATTTGTGAGGCTATCTGTCTGGGCGAAATACGAAACTAATGTTTTGCTGTGTCATGTTGAAGACAGGGCAGCTTTCAAAATATTTAGATATTCTTTATAAATCTGACTTGAAAAAAGCATTACACAGAGCAAAATGATGAATGAATATCATAATATCCACCTAGAAGCCTGGCAATGAAATTCTATAAGCTTTCAGAAGTTTTATGATTTAAACCCAACCCATGTCATGGTCTTAATATGTTGAATCTGAGAATTTTGATCAGTTAATTATTAGGCATACCATATTCTGTTTTAGGAAAATTGCTGAAATTTTACTCACATAGGGAAGATGGGAGCTCAAGTTCCGTCATGAGATAGAAAAACAAATGGGAGAGTTAGTTTTTGCTTTGCATGTCTCCAAAGTTCAACTTCCTTCCTTTCTTCCTTCCTTCCTTCCTTCCTTCCTTCCTTCCTTCCTTCCTTCCTTCCTTCCTTCCTTCCTTCCTTTCTCTCTCTCTCTCTCTCTCTTTCTTTCTTTCTTTCCTTCTTTTCTTTTCTTTTATTTTTTTGGTTTGTTGAGACGGGGTTTCTCTGTGTAGCCTTGGCTGTCCTGGACTCACTCTGTAGACCAGGCTAGCCTCAAACTGACAGAGATCTGCCTGCCTCTGCCTCCCCAAGTGTTGGGATTAAAGGCTCCTGACACTACTCCCAGGTTAAAGTTCAACTTTCTACACTCAAAATAGCGAAGAGAAGTACTCGAATGTGAAAAAGCATCAGAAACCTTTACTGCAGACAGTGTGCCCATTTTTGTGTTATGAAGCCCTGAAAGAAGAACCCCAGGCAGACAGCATAGAAGATGCGAACCCCAGTCTCTCAGAATGCCTTCGTCTTTCTTCACCGCTCCAACCACTATGTGGTTCGAGCCTTGCTCACATGTCCGTCTTTCTTTTCTGACCCTCCCAGTCAGCAGGAAGCAAGCGTTTGACTTCGCAACACTCCTGATACTTGGCAGCCCACTCACGGTTCTTCCTGTTTTCCTTTTACCATCTATATCCATTTCTAATTTACAGCTTTCAGCAGAGAAAAGGCCCAATCCTCTCTACAGTCCAGCCCCTCCACTCTGCACCTTTCCCAGAGTACCTCCACCTTGTGCTGACTGGTGTGCCCATGAAGCTTTCCTCCCATCCTCCAAGCCCACAGCCCCTTGAGATCATTTTTACTGAAGAGGTTTTCACCTTGCATTCCATAGCAGCGAGTTTCTCATGGGCTGCCGTTACATCTTTCTCTCAGAGCATCAGGCCACTTGCTTATAGTGAAAATTCAATGAATGCAAAGCAAAGGGATGAACACAACAGTTTATGTGAGGCTAAGTAAGCCATGAGGCCTATGATTTGGTCAGTGATAAGAAAAGGGAACTCGATGCTTACAGCACTGAGCTCTGTCAGAAGACACTGTGAACACTGTCTCCTGTGTTAATCACACACCTAGGAGACGCCTGCTGGGTTATTATCATCCTTCTGCGATGTCTGAGGAACTAGAGTTCTGAGATGTTAAGAAAATTTCCAAAGAGCACAGAACTGGCAGGTCCTGAAGTTGGCACTTGAAGCAAAGTCTGTACTCTAAGCTTCTCTCTTCCACTGTCCTCTTGTTGCAAACCCTTCTGGGCTGACTTGGAGATTTTTTAAATTTCATTTATTTTTTTCTTTTTGCCACATGAATTCACTTGCTTGATTTGCATATGGCTCAACTTTATTAACACAAAACAGTCGTTTTCTTCTCTGGCCCTCCAAAGTGGCAAGCTTCTTGAGTGCATTAAATATTAATTGCATTTATGATCTTAACCACAACCTATCATTTTACAGTGTCTTTGCGGAAAGCTGAGTACAAAATCTTGTTACACTGACACACACACACACACACACACACACACACACAAAGAACTGGGTGCCCTCACTGTTCAAAGGCTGGAGGAAGTTGCCACATCACTATTTCGGTGACACCAATTGACACCAATGTGCCAGCCCAGTGGGAGCTGTGCTCTGTGATGATTTGCTGTAGCCACAGGTTAAAGTGCATCATTCTATCTCTCTCAACTGTACAATAAAGTACTCGGAAAAGGCTCGACCCTGTAGACTAAGGAGAAGCCAAAGGGAATTTCCGGCCACATCACTGTTGGAAAGGTCATTGTCATTTCAGATTGCAAGAAGAGAAACTGTGAAGGCAGAGAACTATTGATGAACTTTTTTTTTTTTTGGAGGGCATTTTCTACCCTAAGCCAAAATTAAAGTCTACACAAATTTCGGGGATTTCAGGAGAATCTTTGTTCTTCTAGAGCACCGCCTTTCTTCTCTCCCCATTTAAAGCTCCCGTATTTACATTGTGAAAGAACCTAAGGAAATACCTAGATACATATTTGTTGTGTATTTTCTCTTCCACACAGTCCTTCATTGTCCATATGTAAGTACTCTTGGTCATGATCTGACTTTGTGTGCATGGAGTAAGTAAGCTGGGAACGAGGCAGTTACCTGTTAAGTTCATTAACACTGACAGATGAAGGCTTTAGTCATAACACAGAGTCTGAAAAGCTAATCCAGCCAACCAGACAGCTTCCAGACTCCACACCAGCTTTTGCTTCTTTCTGTTGATGAAATTAAGTTTGCCTCTTATTCTGCATTGTTTCCTGGTGTGGCTCTGCTACGTAAATCTGGCTTCACAGCTCCTGCTCTGAGAGGGACCCTGCAAAGGAGCTGTGTGTGGTGCCTGTAACATCACCTTGGAAGCTTCCAAGTTCTTCTTCACCCATGTCTTTATTTGCTTCTGTCTCAAGACAGCACTTCTTAACTACGCTCTGTCTTAAATAAATATCAAAGATGAAATGGTGAATCCCTGTTTGCCAGGATTAATCTGACTTGTTCTTTGTTGTTTAGGCAATGGATGTAAATTTGCCTTCTGTTATTGTGTCCGTAAATTAAGGGGGCATCTTGTTCCTAGGGAAAATACAGTTCCCACCCCACTCCCCAAAAAATGGCTCTAGGTTTGACTGCGTGATCTGGATGTTCCTTGCTGGCAGCCTGCCTAGCCTCACTCTGAGTTCCTTGTGTAGAAAACTCAGCTTGCTCTTCTCCAGAAACTCTGTTGACTGTGGATTCAGATCAGAGGCTTGAGCACTTGGGTATTTAGAACTCATTTCAGAGCTAAATGAAGTTATCAGTTTTATGGCTCGAACACCATAAAACATACTCAGCTCCTCTTGCAAAATAGTGAATTTAAGATTACTGCTGTGACAGTCATATGGGTCAAACTTCAAAGTTCCAGTTTATTAATATTATCAATGTTAAGTCATTTTCACGTTTGACGGATATGGGTCAGAATGTCAGCTTCACTTTGGATCAGATGGGCCTGCTTTAAAAACGAACAGTTTTAGCTTCTGAAGTTGCAGCCATACAAAGGAAACAAAACAAAAGGCTTGTTCACTTTTCTAGTTGTAGGAAAACAGTGAATATCAATAGAAAAAAATTAAAACTTGTTGGTTGTGTCTCAGAGTTTATGCTTTTCAGATTTACTTACTTGGGGAAAAATAATGCTGCAGCATCGTTTTCTTTAAGTGCTGAGGCAGCCAGATGGACGTCACAGAGGTCATCAGTGAAAGAACAGCATGTGACCTGATTTGTAGACTTAATCCAAGCCATGTGTCTCCTGCGACACAGCCAGAACTCTAAGAACTCTTTGTGGGCTAGGGACATAGGACCTAATGAGATAGTGCATTACCTTCCCCATTTAATGCCTCCTGAAGCATTTAAGACTCTGACCAAAATTGTCACTTTCCATGGATACACATGCATACAGAACTCTAGTTGTAAGACTCCTGGAGCCATGAAATCCAGACATATTCTTCCCCCAGGCATTTGCACTGGAAACCATACTGTTACTGCTAATGGAAGAAAATCCATTTGCTAGTATAGAGCTCAGCTCTGAGAAACAGCCAGTGATTTGTTTGAGAAGATGTTTCCTGGAGTTTTAGACAGTGAAGTCACCAGCTCAGGTCCCTTTTAACCAGCACAGACAACACTGTTCTAGTCCTTAAGGATTATGCAGTGTAGTGACTAAAACTGAACACAGATACGGTATCCAGAAAACATGTCTAGGAAGTAAAAATAGAAATTTGAGACACCTGCGTGGTTAATTCAGGCACAATATTGTCTCCGAAGACATGAGAACTTTTTAGGTAGGCTGAATTATTCAGATTAATATTAATTAAAATCATCACATCACTGAGGTTGTTTTTTGTTTTTGTTTGTTTGTTTGTTTTTCCTGAGACAGGGTTTCTCTGCATAGACTTGGCTGCCCTGGACTTGCTTTGTAGACCAGGCTGGCCTCGAACTCACAGCGGATCCACCTGCCTCTGCCTCCTTGAGTGCTGGGATTACAGGTGTGCACCACAGAGCCTAGTGGGTTCTCTATTTTGTTTGAAATTCTATGCCTGTCTTTCTTTCTTTCTTTCTTTCTTTCTTTCTTTCTTTCTTTCTTTCTTTCT